TTCCCCCAAGAGGTGTGTCTGGCACCATTGCTTTATTCATTTTGGTGCCAGGCTAAAACTTTATTTTCACCCAGTATTTTAAGGGTTGCTTGCTTTATCATATAATGGAATTATTATATGTTTTCATATATTGGATTTGCAATGTATCTTTCTTCCTGGCAGAAATTCAGACAGCCGCTTTGAGAAATGTGCACTGGTGCTAATTAATATACTCCTACACTAAACCACCAATGTGTATTAATGTGAATGTGAATTAGTGCTAGTGCACATTCACATAACTAGAATGAAATTCTGCTTTTTAAAACTCTGATTCTGCCACAGAATGAACAACAGAACAAAAGGTACTCTACCATCTGGAAAACACAGACAGAATGGATTTATCAAAATCTATACATCCCTAGGGAGTTCAGATTGGACAAATGAGATGCGAAGGGGGTGGATAAACTCCCTTTGAACTGCAGCCCCAATCTAATTCCAACCCATTGATCCCTTGGGAAAAAAGCATTTTTAAAGGAAACTACCAGCTAGGCGTGTGTGAAGAATCTGTTTTGTGGCTCAGCTCCCCAGACTCTGCTCAGACATCACAGCCCACAAGCCTCCAATGCCATGCAAGGCCCTTGTGTTGTACAAGCAGTGTCCCTTTTCCACAGCAGGTACAGCAATCTTTGTGTTGCTGCACCGGCAAGGAAGAAGGTTGCCCGTGGTGCAGCCTTCATTCTGTGAATGTTCACAGACTTTCAGTTTGGCTCACTTTCCAAGACCAAGCTGAGCACAAGAGGAAGTCTGCAAATTCTAGAGGGACAGATTCAGCTAGGCTTTGTTCCACCCCTCCTACCACCCAACCTGATTATTTAGTGTAGAAGGAGGCAGAAAGTAGTTTAGGATCTACTGATGGTTGCTGGATGTTTTGTAGCTGGCCAGTTTTCCTTGGCCCATTGGAGTCACAACACTCAGCACCTCTGGGCTGCCCAGTATTTAGCCAGCCAGTACTCTTAACTGGGTGAGATGTGGCCCAGGGCAAAGAATTGCTGATCCCACATCTCAAAGCACTTCCTGAGGATTTATTGAGATGGTTGAAAAGAGCCAAACACTCTTAAACCCAAGAGTTAGATAAAATCTGCACTCCAAGCTGTTTTGCCCTGTGTATAATATTCAGTTGCACATGTTTCATTACACCGTTAAAATATTGTACTGCTTTGTCATTGAGGCCATGTTTCCTCCAGTTTGCTGTGATGATTATAGTGCTGAGTCAAATTCTATAAACATATAACTTACTTTTAAAAAAAAAATCCTGCCCATCTTTTCCACAGTGATATTTCATGTCATGTTCTGTTGGTGTATTCTCACATATATTATACCAGGGGTGGATAAAAGGTAGAGCAGGATCTACTGAAGAGATACTGTGGCAATCTGAAGTAAATTGGCAAGGATTTTGAACTTGTTTAACAATCGCATTCACTGGCTTATATCACACTCACCCACACCATCTCCATCTTAAATTATACTGCTGAAATGAGGGCAGCTTGGGCTAACCAGGATAGAGTTGTGCTTGGAAGGACTGAGTACTTCGTTCAGTTCTGAAACATAAGATAAATTCCTGTATGCAGTAAAGCTTACATATGTTTAACTTCTGTCCGTCACCGTCAAAGCAGATTCTTAGACATGGGGATCAAAAAGATTTGAAATGTCTCTGCAAAGTTTCTCAAACTTTAACTCAGAATGCAATTAACTTCTGAGGGGCGTTCAATGTATTCTTGGTATCGGGTTGAAAATGTGAAAAAAAATTGAGAAACTTGTATTGGAAGATGCCCGAATAAAAATCAAAATGTTAGCAGAGATGACAAACCTATCCGTTGGTACCATATTTACTATTTTTCATGACCATCTTAACCTTTCAAAGGTCTGTGTAAGATGGGTGCCACAAATGCTCATGGTGCCTCAGAAACAAGTGCGAGTCGAGTGCTGTAGGGAGTTTTTAGAGCTCTGTGGTGAAGAACCGAGTATTTTCAGCCGAATTGTTACTGGAGATGAAACGTGGGTTCATCACTATGACCCTGAAAGTAAGCAGGAGTCCATGCAGTGGCATAAAAAAGGTGCTGACCCTCCAAAGAAATTCAGGGTCACTCTATCAGCCGGAAAAATCATGGCCACAGTGTTTTGGGACTCAAAGGGAATTTTATTGATCGAGTACATGAAAAAAGGTGAAACCATAAACGTAGCATCTTATGCAACCACTCTGCATAATTTAAGAGAAGCAATTAAAGAAAAAAGGTGGGGAAAACTGACTGCAGGTGTGTTGCTTCTTCACAACAATGCTCCTGTTCACACGGTGCATGTTTTGAAGGCTGCTGTGCGAGACTGTGGTTTCAAAGAAATAAACCACTCACCCTATAGCCCGGACCTGGCCCCCAGTGACTGCTACCTATTCCTGAATTTAAAAAAAGATATTCGTGGAAAGCGATTTTCCAACAATGAAGAGCTCAAGGCGGCAATTAACACACATTTTTTAGACAAGGAGGAAAGGTATTTTTTACAGGGAATTGAAAAGTTAATTTCTAGGTGTAATAAGTGTATTGAAGTTAGGGGGATTACATTGAAAAATAAAAAGTATTTCAATGTATTATTCCTTTTTCTTCATGCTGATACTGAGAATACATTGAACGCCCCTTGTCCGTTCAAGATTTGACTCCCAAAGATTGGAAAATTCCGAATGCATCTGGTAACCCTAAGCAGATGGCTGTAGGGGAGCCCTCCCCACCCTGCTGTCCTCCAGATTTATCAGACTACAAATACCATGATTCTTATCCAGCAGTGCCATAAAGAGCACTTAATTAAGGAGTGCTGCAAGAGGGCATGCTCATTGTGGACTTTTAGAGGCATTTGTGGCAAATAGAATGAATCTTAGTCTGACCTGGTAAGCCGTGTGTTCCTGTGCCAACTTTGCCACCTGATCATGATGGTTTGAACGTCAACAACCATAATTCCTGACAATTAGCTACGTTGACTGGCTGCTGGGAGTTGAAGTCTGAATCATCCAGAGAGTACCCAGTGGGGAAGACTGCTTTCTGTGTACACTAGTAAGTCCAGCCTGGTGGTGTGCAGGTCACAAGGTGCAATAGCATCCAAGATGACTGTGCAGAGAAGTTAAGAGATGACTGTAGCAAGTCATAAGAAATTCCCATTGTCTCAAGAAAACAGCCCACGTCAGACATGAAGTTGTGCAGTCTGGCTTTGCATTCACCTCTTGATCATAAACTCATCTCGCATTCGCAAGCCCCAGGTATAAAATGGAAAGAAACTGTAACACACAGGTGTGCTGTGAGCAAAAAGAAGATGAAACTTGTGAATTTATTATATTTTTAATCTACCCAGACACCATAATTATCTTAACAGATTAAAAAACTGCAGTATCATAGAAACACAATGCAAAACAGCGTAGGGGGAAAATGCATGTAAAACATGTAATGGTATAAAATCAAACTACCTAGGGGAAAAGAAATGTCTTTACCTGGTATTGTAGCCAGGTAGCCATGCAGTTGCCAGGTGAAGAAAGCATTCCATAGAAGTGCCTCTGAGAAGCATGCAGCTAGTCTGCTTCAGTGGGGACACCTAGGGGAGGAGCTCAGGGATTTGAGCAGGTGCGTATGGGGGAATTACACCTTTAGAAAAGCTTGTTAAATTAAAAAGAGCTATCCACATTTCTGTCTGATCCAAGAATTCTTTGATTTTGTTGGCCCCCTCCTTGGTTCAGAGTTACCTAAGTAGGGAAAGATGGGATAATCATGTCTGTCTTCCTAAGTAATATATTTTCTACGTAACTTTCTAAGTAACAAACGTCCTAAGTAATGACATTCTCCCTAAGTGAATAAACTGCGTTTATTTACAAGAAGTTCATCTTTCTTGAGCAGAGATGGAGCCATTAGTTGCAATCCTTCACCCAGTGATGTCTGTTTAAGTCCAGTGACTTCACCAGCATTAGCTCAGCACAGGACTGCCAACTTCATCTTTGTTTGGAGTTCACCCAGGGCACGTTCTGGAAGGAATTACTTGTTTTCAATTAGGGGTTGATGGATTTTTTGAGGCTGGCTCAGCTGCTTGTTTCTCCTTGTGAACATTTTAGTTTTTAAAAAAGAGGGGGGACTTTATATTATGTTACATCTCTAGTTCTCTTCCTCCCCTAATTATTCGTTGGCTCTGATAATAGTGCAAAATATCACACATAACCCATCAGTATGTGTATTAACTTTTTCATGACCCTGACACTTAGCTTCTATGAGAGATGTAAATCCATTGCGCTCAGTGGAAGAGGTTTGCCCTTGAAGATCTTCTTGCTCTTTCTCCTCGCACCTGCCAAGCCGCATCACCCTGGTACTTGACTTTGACGTCACAGTGTGATGTGGGTACAGTTGCTCGAGCAACAGCACACACTCGATAACACTACAGACATGTGAGTCAGTTGAAAAATGTTACTGGGGTTTTATTAGCCTATGAAACACTTCCCTGTCATCTACAGTGACGAGTTGGTCCAATTCACCCAAATTATTATCCATTAGTAACACTTAATGCAAATTTTTTTCAATGGCTAAGTGGGCTGGAACCTCCAATAAAAAGTAATTGTGGGTGCTACTAACTTCCAGGGGCATGCCTGGATAATTCTAAGCCTGTGAGATTCCACAGAGTTTAACGGATGAGGAAACAGTCCCGGAGACTTGATCTGGGCTTGTTTGTCTCCCACACCATTCTAAGTAAGCAGAGTTGGAGTCCCAGGTGCTTGCTATCTTCAAGTGACCACTCTATGGCTACATAATGACTTAGCCTTCAGATAGCAGAGCTGGAATGAATGCAGGGTGAGGAGGGAACTGACGGTAAAACTAATGAAAATAATATACAGGATTGCTCTTTGTAGTTGATGGAGAGGGAAGGATTTTGATAGCACCAGCTGAGAGTAAAGTCATCCACCCCATCTAATAACTTGCTTTACTGTTTGTTTTACTTTTCAGACATGGCGATGACTTGATTGTGACACCATTTGCTCAGGTAGGCAACACATTTGTTCAGGGAGCCCTTAAATATCAGTCTTTCCCATGCTGGTGGAGAAGGATCTCTCTCTCCATGCCAAATGGACTCCCCAATATCCCCATTTCACATGGCAAGAGGGGTGGTGGGAGTGGGGAACCCTTCCATCTGTGCCAGTGGAAAGATTGTGCCCCAGATCTTATGTGCTTGGCAAAGTTCTTGTGCAGGTCGTGCGTGCTTGTGCCTGTGCCCCAGACTCTTGTCATTTTGATCACTAGTACTTCTACTTTAGCATAATCATTCCAAGGTGTGCTTCCAAGTGGTTATACAAACACATATATTTGCACAGATACACACACACATCTGTCTGATGGCAGCAAAACTGGATCACATGTATTTATTTGATAATGACTTTATGGGGAATGGATGTCAATTGTGAAAGGTTCTTATTGTGCAAATGTTAACTACTCTAATAATTCTGATGCAAATAGTGCTGAATAGCAATTGCCCATTCTTTTCAAACTCAGTCATTTTGGAAAGAGACAAAGAGCGCTTTGTAAGAAATTATCCTTCTCTTTGAACAAGTCCACTTTTAAAAAACAAATAATGGTTTCTTTCGCAAGCAAGAAAGTGACAAAACTACTGTCCTCGCATTGACAAAAGCTTCCTTGTGAAATAACGGTCAAAGGCTTCAGACACCAAAACAATCTTGGAAAGTTCAATGACCTGTTTAGAAGGCTAGTTTAGAAGCTTGCTGTCCAATGGAACAAGAGAAAATCAGGCAGCGCACCTGATGAAATTCAGAATGAACCATCTTCGTTTTTGTTTGCTACAGGTGCTGGCCAGCTTACGTACTGTACGGAATAATTTTGCTGCGTTAACCAACCTTCAGGATCGAGCACCCAGCAAGTGAGTGTGGCCATTTTCTCCTCCCTGGACTTTTGAGTATTGCCCCCTCTTCATGTTGCAGTTTCTCCCCCTGCCCACACATACCATGCTATTGTGCGTGCGTGCCTTCCCTGAGCTGACACCCCCTCTGGATAGGTCATACTACATGTTCTAGCATCCCCAGATACTAGGCTGGATGGGGGTGTTGGGAGTTGCAGTCTGACATGCCTGGAGGGAAACCAGCTTGGGAAAGCTTAGAAAGTGATACATGGATTCACAGAAAATGGTAGCTGTGAACCAGACTCTGCGCGTGATGAACCGCTTGCCATTTCTGTGCTTGGCATGGAGCAGCTGCAAAAATAGAGGCGCTTGCTAGGCATTCCTGGTTCATGGGCACCTTTCATCACCTGGGCCAAAATAGCAAGTGATATTAAATGGGCTGCTGCTGAAATAACAACAGTGTGTTTCATGTTCACATAGAAACACACTTTCCCATCCATAATGTGTACGATTACTTAATTCTGTCCTGATGTCATAATATTGCATCTTTCTCCACTCCAGTTCCACCTCCTTGGAGGCCGGTGGGAGGAGAGTTGGAAGCGCACCATGACATGACGTTGGGGCAAGGGCAAGTTGCCATACACCTTATGGATGCTGCCATGCATTTATTCTGACATGCCATTTTGGCCTCCTTAAGGTCCACATGATCACAGGAACAGCTTAAGCAAAATAATCACAGTCCCTTTGTCTATCCCTTTACTTGTCCTGTGATCCGCAACAGTTTTTTGCAGGGTGTTTTATTTTGCCTTCATCTATTTTCAGTTGAAAGCACTTGATCTTTAAAACATGTTTTTATTACTAATTTATTGCATGTATATCCTGCCCATCCTCTAAATGACCATTTTTACTGGGTATTTTTCCTTGCCACCTCAGAATTTGGTGGCATGGCAGGAAGGTCTATGGGTTGTTTGCTGTCCATCCCTACTGTGAAAAGGAAAGGCAGTGTAATGTGTCCTTTTAACCTCATAACCACCCCACAATATAGGTCTAAATAAGACACTGTCACTTGTCAGAGCTGCTTAGCCTCCTGTTTAAATTAGGATTTGAACCTGGGTGTCCCCCATTCCTAGCACACCTTAGCCCAGTGTACCAAAGGGGCTGTCTCATCAGTTTTGTGGTACCTTTTCAAATGGAGGTGCTCATCATGACCATCTTCATAGCCATTTCTGCAATCCAGGCCCATGTTTTGATCTACATCAATATCCCAGTTCTAACATGCTTCATCTCCCTGGGAGGCATGACTTTTGTGGGTCTTAATTGCCCATTAAGCCACCCCGAAATACTTTGCATTACAACAGGTATAGCTCAGAGCAGTATATTGTTTCTGGAAAAATCAATTTCTCTCTCAGCTGTTGTGAAGAAGGGTCAGGCAGCTTGAGGTGAGTGGCCTGTGATGCCATTGCCCCATTTAATACAAACATTGAGGCACGTTAATCCTGAGAGCCCTGGCTGCATTACAAACACTTGGTTACCTTAAGACAGGCGGCTAGGAAGTCCTGTTGTCCGAGAAAGGCATTCCTGGGACTAAAGTAGATGCGATCATGGTTCAGACTTCATTTTTGTTTCTCAAGAAATAGTAGCTGTTTTGGGATGCTCTGAAGATGGGCATAATGTTGTGTTTAGTTAGCTCTTTCTTTTCATGTCTTTTCCCCAAAGTCCCCTCCATGCAGTGCTTTTAATGCCTCCCAGAGTAAAAGCCACAGAAAGCATGTAATCATGTATCTCTTCTGCAGCTGGGTTGACCCCTATAACTTATTAATTCTTCCTTCCTTTTTTTATTCCCCCCAAAAACAACTCAGTCATCTCCCCCTGCCCCCTCTGACACAGCATTAAGAATTCATTAACATGAACTGTTTCATGCTGATGCCTTACATTATCCCTCCTTCTTTCTATCAGACGGTCACCCATGTGTAACCAACCATCCATCAACAAAGCAACCATAACAGGTAAGGTCCCTTAATACAGTCATATGCTTTTGATGAGACGTTTTTGCAGTTAAGGCTGTACTTCTTCCTTGGAAATATACCAAATTATGACAAAAATATTACTGGTTTGTAAAATATGTGCAAGTGCAATCAAAATATTTTAGTACTGTAAGAGGCCCACCAAATCTTCTACTAGCGCATAGAATTTCCACCTCTGCTTCTGTGATGTCGGGGTGCCCCTCTCATTACGTGGAGTGGAGCAGTTGCCTCAGGCTAGGAGATAGCAGGAAAAGGTCAGAGGAGAGCTCTCTGCTGGCCTCCTAAACTCAGGTATAGTGGAAAATGCTGTTTCATTCCCAACATTCCAGTTGCTGGTCCAACTGCTGGTCCAATTGTCTTTTGTGCATGGAATGGGAAGGGCTGCCATCATTGCAATAAAATGACTTTAGCTACCCCTGTACAAGGACTGAGGTTTGCTACAGTTTAATTCCCTTCTCTGGTGACAGCTACTGATCCTGGGAAGTTGTCTTTCATTTACGTTTTCCTACAGAAGTGGGAGCAGTGCTGCATCAAGGCATCATGTGTATTTCATAGACTGTGCTGTTTGAAGCCATCCTACATGGATCGTGGCACTGCTGCCTCTTCTTATTATGACCAGTAGCCCACGGGGTGTGTGATGGCAGTGTTATCAAGGAAGCAGTGATGTAGGGGAGCTGGGGCTCAGCATGTGGCACTGTGTTGGGTACCATCTCAGATATGGAGCTGATCACAGGTACTTCTAATGGACTGGCTCAACACATCAGTAAGTGGACTTCACACCCAGGAGATGTTTTTTGTGTTATTTGTACTGCTGTGGCTGCCACAAACACAGCTTGGTTTTTAAAGTGGCCTTGCCATTTGTGGAAGCTCTAGCAGTGAAAATGGCAATGAGCACTCCAGCTCTGCATGTAAAGTATCTGGCTGCATGCATGATCATCATCTTTGCAACATGGCAGGAGAGCACATAAAGGTTCTGGGCCGTATACACAAGGTTTCTTTGCCAAGGAGTATGTATTGTGTGGGGTCTTCCAGAACAATGGCAAGGAGATTACTACAGTTCAACCAGTAGTGTGGTGAACTTTCTCCATGTCCAAAAGCCAGGATAGTTTCTTGGACTCATACCAAGGCTTTATGGCCTTTAGCTTGTTAGGAAGAACAGTGGCGATCATTGCCTTGAATCTGCTTTCCTGATGCATTCTGTAGACAAGGGCTGCTTTTGCTGTGAGAATGAAACTGTTTGCCTTCCTGAAATGGCTTTTCTCCTTCCCCCTTTGGCTCCCAGGAATGGGAGTGCATGGGTAGAGCCTGAATGCTTGCTGACAGACTCTACAATAGTAGAAGAAAGAAATTTCATGAAATCTATGGCAAGAGACATTGTCTTTTGTTCTTGGTATGGAAAAAGGAATTGGCACATTGCTTTCCCAGTCAACGTTGGAGGCCAAGGGCCTATTCAGGGATTTGATGTAGTCACAAAGGAGTGGAGTGTAAGCTTTCTTTTGCTTGTTCATTTTCTGCATCCATGTTCATTGTTGTATTCATAAGCTGTATTTCATCTTTAGAAGAGTTGGTTTTGTTTCTTTTCAAGTATCCTAATTTCTAAGAAAAGGTGCCTTGGCTTGACTAGACCCCTATGATTAAAACAGAGTGCTCTCAGCCATTTCACAGATGCCTGTCAGCACCACAACCCCAGCAAACCATAAGCAGTGCTGCTGAGGCTGGGAGGTCTCCTGGCCAAAAGTGGCAGACCTCCAGCAGCCCACTCTCGGGCTGGTGGCCGTGGCAAATAACCGGGTCAGTTGAAACAGTCTGAGCAGGCATCTGTGTGGCATTCTGTTGCGCTGCCCAGTGCAGGGAAGTTGGTGATTAGGGTTTTTTTTAAATGTACTTTTAACCATCCAGCTGTTCCTTAGCATCTAGTTAGAAGGCAGCTGCTGCAGCTGCCTTGCTGAAGCTAAGCAAACCTGGATCCAGTCAGTGGCTAGACAAGAGACTTCACTGTTTACACTGCCCTGAATTCTGCTGTAGAAGAGAGGAATACAAATGCAAAACATATATGATGCAGAACTCCACGTACATCTTATTCCTGCTGTGCATGGGGTTTTCCTGGTCCCTTCAGTGGAGGAAGCCACAGCAAAAGCATGCCTTTGCATGCACAGAAAAGGCATGGTGGGCTGAGCCGCTGCAAGGCCTTCCTTGACCTTCCACATCAGATCTCTGAATTAGGGAAATTGGAAGTAGGCACCATTTTAGAGCATCATTTAGTCCTGGGCCATAGGTAGTTCTTGGGTTATTTGAGGGTTTTTGCAACTCCAAACAAGCCATGCCACCCAGGTTCGCACAATTTAATAAGTTGCAATGTTATGGGTACTTAGGGAAATCCAGGTGGTAACCAGCGCTTGTAGCAACTGTGATAACCCATAGCAGTGTGTTTTAGCCACCATGAGCATGTGAACTGGGTCTTAATCTGGTCTGTAGTCAAACCTTGTGTGGGAATTTGGACTTTCCATCCGCAGTTGATCAGGCACACAGGTAACCTGACTGGTCTTCTGCAACGGCAGTGAGGTACGTTACATTTTACTTCACATTTCAGTTTTATTTCTGAATTGGTATATACACATGTTATACAAATTAGTGTCTTCTCTTTTCCTTTTTTTGTCCATGAATAAATGACCACCCAACTTCAATTCCTGTTTTAATATATTAGTCTTGCCTTATTTCATGTTTCATGAAGTATAGTGGTAATTCGGTGGAATGTGGCATAGTCATTTTTCCTTCCCCTCCATTTCAGAGCAAATTCAGGGTCAGTCTCAGGACCAGACTAGATGGAACAGCATTAATCAGACTGGCCCTTCAGTGGATGGCTTTTGAAAACCCTTTTGCAGGTGTGGGGAGCCCAAAATGGGGTGGGAGCCTGCGGCCTGGGAGTGGGGGGGTTAACGATTTGTCTTTCACTGTGGTGCAGAACTGGATTATGCCCACTTCATCTGCAGTCTCCTTAAAAATCAACCAACTATGAACATGAGTGCTAATTTTGGTGTCCCACAAGTCACTAGAAAGGTTAATTCTTGAAAATGCATTTGTTGCAAAAGAGGTGTTGAAGAAGGCTTGGTACATCATTTACAAGAACCCTCCGATTTATAGTTCTGACTAACTTTTAAAGATTCCCTCTTCTCAAGATACTGTTTTAAATTATATGATGTAAATTCTGGTATAGATGAGTTCACGGAAGCATGTTAATACAGGCAAGGCTATATTTTAGCCTCTAGTCAAGTATTCAGCAAGTAAAAATAATTCAGCAACTTCTGTGTGGGTGTTTGTGGGGGACTCACCCCACCCTGCATGGGTCTGTGACTCAAGATGGTGATGTTACAGCTGGAACAAAGCAGCTTCTCAGCCATCTCCTTCCTTGCCTTCTCCTACCCATCATGCACTGCTAGCTTGCTTTTTGCAAGCTGGGATGCACTTTTCTTCCTGTCTCCTGGCTGCCTCCTGACTCTTCCCTTCCTTTAGTGTGAATGCCTTAAGTGTCTGTACAGCATGTGCTGATCCATTTCAGCCCAGAATTGCAAGCACCCAGTTCATTCATTTGGGCTGCATAATTGTGAACATTGTCAGTCCTGACAGCATCAAAAATAACATAGCCTGAGGGTGTATCTTTGTGTAAAACAAAAGGGGAAATTAAATAAAAATATATCAATGCATGTAGAAGTACTAATAGGTGACAAGGCAAATGGGAAAATTGGAAACCTTCAGGAGCACAGCTGTGTAGAAAAAAATCCCATAATTTCAGACATTGCACAATGAGGGAACAGTCTGGTCTTAAAACAAAGGAAGATCCTTAATGAGAAGGCATAGCTGTATCTGAAATTACTAGACTGACTTTCAACATGTTGCTGTTCTCTATAAGCTACACCAGAAATGCTTCTTGAAGCACAATCCTACACATGTTTGAACAGAAAAAAGTCTGACACATCCTAGCATGCCCCAGTCTAAACGTGCACAGGATTGCACCCTTAGCCCTTGATTCTCTGGGCTGTATGAATGTATCCGAGATAACTTTTATGCTATGTATCTAACAGCTATGCTTAACTTTCTTCACCCCATCGGTCCTTCTGGGACCATTTATATCTTACGGTATAGCTGGTATTAAAATTTTCCCCTCTGCAGTTGCTACTGCCAAGATAGTAAAACCAATCGCCTCAGAGGTTTGTTGTTTCTCCTTTAAACTGGATACAGCCTGCATTTTTCTATTTGCTTTAATCCCTTGGGGCAGACTTACCTAACCTGACTTCTTCCAGATGTGGTGTACTGCATTTAAAATTGCTAGACTGTCTTTCGACAGTGTTTCTGTTCTCTGTGAAGTACACCGCAAGTACTTCTTGGAGCACAGTCTTGTGCATGTTTAGACAGAGATAGCAGGCTGACTGGGAAAGGTGGGAGCTGTAGTTTGACACATTGTGAATGCACTGGGTTGGGAAAGACTGCATTAGAGGCCATTACTTAGACAATGGGTGGGTTCACACAATGCAACAACCCACACTCAATGTTGAGTATGGGTTAATTGTGAGTTGTCATTGAACAGGGGACTGTTGTTGAACCATGGGTTGTTGTGTTGTGTGAACCCAGCCATGCTAGTAAATAATAGCTTGTTAACTGAAGGGAACCCACGATTTGTTTTACAGATGTGAACTGTGAATTGTTTGTGGTTAACAAGCCATGGTTTGTTAATACAGCTTGATTCACACAATAGAACAGTGCTTGGTTGAACAATCCAAACTCAGCCAATGGGCTTTGTTTGCATAAACACCATGGCTTAAACAAGTTATGATCACCCTTTACCTAATTACATACCTGGGTTGTTATCTTATCCAAACTCCTATGGCTTGTTGGACTAAGAAACAATCCTCAAAAAACCAAGGTTTGTTGTTATTTGAGAATTGTTTCCCACCTAAGCAAGCCATGCTGCCCAGGTTTGGACAGCA